TTGTGGTTACTATAATCCTAACGAATAATATGAAGGCTCGTTGTCGCAACGTCATCTACTCTATCCTGGATCCCAATCCTACGCGACGTATCACAGCATCACAGGTTCTCAAGTCCGAATGGGGCCGCGAAATTAAGCTCTGCAAAGCTGGCGAAGAAGGTCTCTAAGCGATGTTGCTCCTCGCGAGCGGCGTCTCTTGACTAAGGGATGAACTTTCTATTGTTAGACCGAGAATCGATCGCTGTGGACCGTTTCGTCCCTTTGGTGTCCTCAACTTTACATAAGATGACGACCCTGATGTTCTTCGCCACCTTTTCGAGGAGACTGCTTCGCTATCAACGATATTAACAGCATCAGTCAGACTTTTCATGGCCCAGGTTTCTTTTCATCTTGCATGGTGTTCCGGTAAAATTACGATTTCCTGCATTTCGCTTTTCTTCTCAAGTTCGTATTTTTTCAGTATACATTTTAGTCTCGATACTTCGGACCACGGCACCAGGATTCCATCGCGCAGGCATCAAAACAGGATAGGTAATAGATGCGCCATGCGCACTGCGAGTGAGCGCCAACAGAAGCGGCTCTTATCATCCGTGTAAAAGGATAGAAGCATACTCGCATTTTTTCCTGGTCAGCTGCAAAGAAGGGAAAAGGAACTGGGCGGCTAAGCTGTGTTTTTTTTGTTTCCCCTTCTACGTCCGCTCGTTCGGTTAGCACGTCTTTCAGGGCGAATGTAATGGCTATGATCCGGTTTGTTCATTAGAGGACTCGGATTCAGAGCATTTTAGATAGGCGATTCAGTCCACATTCTGAGGCTTGCCTTGGCGTCTAGTGTCTTGGGGGGTTGGAGGTTGGCATTTACCAGCGATGAAAGAGCCGCTCGATCCGTTTGATCCGCGACAGAGCGGTGATGTCTCCACAATACAGCACATTGCACGCATGGCGATTGTTCCATTTTTTTTCTATCCCGAGCCAAGAGTGAAGATTCTTATTAGTGTACTAATTTGTTGTGGTTTTTCCCCCGTGCGTGACCACATGAATGTGTGTTGACTTGGAGCTGTTGGTGTACGCTACGCAGGTCTGGTGAAAGAAGCATGGCGCGTATGTTTAATAGACTGTGCGACAATGTCAGCCGCGGGTAATAAAATCTTGTATTACTATCATGATTATATCGAATTACCTAGATTAGAGAGTCTTGACTCATAGTAATGTTACAAATAATTAACTACACTAAATATATTCACTCTTTCATATATTACCATAGGATTTAGAGATTTTTAATACCTACCTACGTACCTTATTTTTAACCAGTTCCTTATTACATAATATAGTAATAGTCGAATGTAGCAGATTGAATTAACTGAGCTATAATCACATGATCCACCCCGCTAGGTTAGATAATCATATTCCCACTACCACCACTCAGGCCACTTTCATACCTTCATCCAGTAACGATTTGCTCTCATCTGAGGCGCGTCGCACAAACCTCGAGGGTTTCGGCCATATCTTGTAGATATGATTCGGTACTACTTATCATGACATCCACCTTCTCCCACTCATGGAGTCTCACGTCTATACCCGTAGGGTTATAACGGAAGTACTTATCCTGAAATCTACCATTAGGCAAGCAATATATCTTCTTGAATGATCTAGCCATAGATTCTGCATCTGTCATAATCTTCACGTAGGCCTTAGCTACTGACATAAGGCTATTTCTTAAGGCTATAGGGACCGGTATTCCCGTCCCTATGCTAACTATACAGGATACTTCTGGATTCGGAAATGCCGTCTGAACTTCGTCGATAAGCTCGAATATTGGATTGTTACTCCTAAGCGCGCCATCGCGAAATGTGCAACCGTTGTGGAAGGTGATAGGGTCAAAGAAAACAGGCGCTGCTGATGTTGCCCGTGCTGCTTCCCAGATGCGGCAGTTCAAGGCCTCCTCGATATTAGAATGATAGTTCCTTAGTCGTCGGGTGTCTGTGTTCACCATGCTGGCACAGACAAATCTAGCACATGAATTTAAGCACTCTTCCAGATATGAACAACTAGTTCGAGTACTCATAACTTACATCTTACACTTAGGGTTCTCCTCGAGCAGGACTGCATCTGCATCCCTAAGACGGTCTTGTACCAAGCCACGGGTCTTGTCTTCAAGGACTTTATGATCAAACGTTGCCTTGCCAATAATGCTGAAGAAGATACGGCCTAGGATCTTCGTCCATAACGAGGCCCTGAAAACATCCTTGGACATATCAATATATGCCTCGATGCATGACGATACGTCCATCCTCTGAATAAAAATATTAGTAAGCACGATATTTGAAAGCAGATAAGGGGAGTACACACAAGCCTCCCTAACATTATTGCGATGAGACCGCCAGTACTTGTCCCGACGATCATATCGAAAACATCACAGGGTTTCGGTGGTTCTTTAGGATTAATAAGGTGCATCAGTCTCCGCAATATGAGTAAGCTAACGAGGCCTCTAACTCCACCTCCATCTACGACAACTATTATTAGCCCTGTTTGACTGTGATCAGATTGGTAATTAAATATGGGAACTAACCAAGGGTGAGCAAGCGAAGGCGTCGTTGAGGTAGCACATTTGAATTGCTAGGCATTGTTAACTTGCCAGTGACTTTATATATAAGTCAGTACCTAGTGAACATAACAAGCATATAACACAGGCTTAAAAGTAAACGTCAAGATTGTTATATGCTGAAGGTGTTGAGCACATATATTCCATGATAATTTAATTAACTATTCACAGCTAGAAGAAGATATGAAGTCAAACTTGTAATAGGATTATAGAGTACATAGCTTATGAACACAGGAGCAATGTCGACAATTGACAACTACAATTCTGTATACAGCATTACCAAATACCGTAAATGACAATAGTATACAATACTCGACGAGAATTCGTAATTAGGAATTATGAATCTAGAGTTGACAATTGACAATGGGGCTCTCTTCATTTATCTTCTTTGATGAGATTGGCCCTTCCGTTGTCGAATCAACATCGAGATGACTTCATTACCACCCAACCACGCGACGCCACGCTCTTGCACCTTTTTTCGTAAGTAAATTAATATATTTCCTGCCAAATAGAAAGCCGCGAGACAGGATACCAAAAAGTGTAAAACAGAAAACGAGTTTTGGTAAGTAAACAAACCCCCAAAAACCGTTAGTACCCAAGTACTAGTCTTAGGTTAAGTCTTGCTAACATACTCCTTTTATAAACTCATTTCCCAACCGACACCAAAGTGAGAAAGAGAAAATTTCACGTAATTCTGTTCATTCTAATATATAAACACGACTAAGACATTCTCTTTGAAGAAGATTACAGTTACGTGGATGGTATGGTTGCTATAAGAGTTAGGACCTTCACCCTTTTGTGTTTATAAACAAGGCCTCACAGCTTTGCTCCAAGGATCTATATTGTCTTTGATGAATGGCACCTTTTGGTTTCAGCCTCATGATAGTGGGATATAACACGGAGTGTCTATCATCTATCATCTATTAAAAGGTTCAAGGAAAGACATTTTAGGCGGGGAAAGGGGAAGGGGTTGGTCAGCTGATGTTATAGTAGTGTTGAAAGATTGTTTAAGTATACAAGCGAAGCGACAGCACTAACAAGATTATATTCATGATAGATATAATATTTTATATTTATTACAATACTATAACTGGGACTCAAGCTTGCACGGCACATAACACCAACGTAACATCTATCGATAAACTCGGCATTGCTTTGTTAACTAAGTGCATGCTACACGTGTTTATATTAGTTAACAGGTTAAGACTACAAGAAGACTCAAGACTTACCACCTTAAGAATGATATAGTGGTCTGGTATTTTGTAAGATATTCTAACCTCAGATTGATCGAAATGAGCTAATAACTTTGACAGAATTTAACCATAACTAGTGAGTAGTTATACCTAGTTACCTGTTTTTTATACTAATTAACTTAGGTAGTTAAACTCTATAGCGGGGATGTATTGGATTCTTATAACCGATTTAAAAGTCTTTGGTGTCATATTAATGCTGGTTTTTGCCTGCTCGCACGAAGTAGCTACCTAGGTAGGTATTTATTAAAGAAACGTGCAAGATGAAATACTTGATCCGAAGTACTCCCGAACAGGTAGGCTTCCCACCTATTTAGAAGTATTTTTAAACACTGCTAAAATATATTCCTTTTTTAGTGATCTTCAAGCGTTTAGTCTTGACCATTTCCCTAATTCCTGCGCAGCATTTTTTAGGTACGAGGAGGTAAAAAGCCAGTACTAGCAAGCTGTTTTATTTAATATCATGTACGAAAGGATGGCAATGTCTTACTAAGCAAGTCTCTAATGTGTGGTTTTAGTCTTTAATTGGTTGGACCAATGTTTGATGGCGCACCGGGGGGGGGGGGGATATGAGCCGTTAGTAGCAATCCTCTCAGAAATCCCAAGCCATTGTTAAACACCAAACCTAGCTTTTTCTCTAGCTATTTAACTCCTAATAGACTAATAGACTAATATATCTAATCGGTGGTATATAGTATAGCCTTGTCTTTCTCTAAGTGATTAGAACTTTGTCAATATTATTTAGTTATGACTTATTAGTCGTTGATCTACTGAGACGCTTAGGAATAATATCTTCGTCGCGGTTATTTGACGGCTTTTACCAACCCCAGGGCCACCCTCCCTCATCGTGGCTCTACTTCATTCATAGGATGTGATGTGATAAGCGGTATCCCGGGCAGTCGAGGCTGATTCTATCTTACCAATAGTATATCTTACGTATTAGAAGAGTCAGCCAAACATCTCACCTAGCCCCTCATTCATTCTGCCTCCAGGCTCAGGGGGTTGTGGCTTAGCTTTAGTACTTATACGTGAGAGTAGCTTCTGTCGGCTTAATAATATCGACGCACGCACTCGCCCAGTCTTAGAAACAATTATTCATGTTCTTCTCTCAAAATATATACCTCTTATAATATACAACAGAAATCGATGACATGTCTATCTCTACGGACGAGCTTCGAAGCCAGTGGGCCAACCCAAGTGACATTCTCAGCCTTCTCCTCCTTATCGGTAGCGATATTGTGCAAAAAGCCATCGCTCAACTCGTCGGGCACAGGATTCACCTTTATGGAGATAAAAGAAATCGAGGTTTTTCAATCGCCCCCGTTGCTTTTTCTTTCGGGTGGGCAGCTTATGGGTTCTCCAACCTCCTCTCAGCTATCGGGGATATGAGGCTGATGCCGACGAGCGATTGTCCTTCCTTTCTCGTAACCTGTTCTAACGGGTTTGTTAGGGAGAACCAGTCTTGGGTATTAGGCCGTCTTCTTCGGGATCATGAAATTAAGTATCCCGTCGACCCACGACCGGAAGATGAAGGTGGTCGAGCTGAGTCTATTCGAATCGACGTCTTTAACCTGCTTCCTGTCTCGCGCCCTACTTGCGACTTCGTGTGGTGGCTTGGATGGGTAGTATTACTTGCGCAAGTCGGTATTGCTATTGTACCCTGGGTCTTATATGATGACTGGGGAATTTTCGCAATTACTCTATGTGGAAATTTATTCGTTGCTGCTACCTGTGCTCTGCCGCAGTGGACGCAAGAGAAATGGGCTGGCCGCCGGTTAAAGCGTGACAAGGTAACATGTCTAACACGTGGTAACGGGCATTTCCATATCATGGTCTTCATCGGTACTCGAGGCTCCTGGGATCTGGAATCTCTTGCAAGTAGCGTACCTGTTCCGCGACCGGAGACTCGATGGCTATCCCTACTCCTCGCCATATTGTGGACCTGTTTGCTTATTAGTATATCGGGGTTTAAAGAACACACCTGGTTTCTTGTCGGGATTGGAAGCATCGGTATGCTGCAAAACGTCTTCGCGGCGGGAACACCCCGAGAGCCAGGAGCTTCCGATTTTCATATCACTAGATTCTCCCGTGTGTCGACAATCATAGGGAGACGTAAGGACTACAGAGATGACATGGATTGTAAGGTTGATATGGAAGAGGCCCTTGAGGAACTTGCCGACATTGCTTCATGGGCGTCAGAGAAGCCGCCACTAGTACTACAAAGTGATAATTCTCTTCCAAACGAAGCCGCTCCAATGCCACGATGGCTAGTCACGATGTCTAAGTCCGATGGTGTTCCTAGTTGGCTGGAACCCCTGAAACCAGTCTCTTTGACCAATCATACTCCATCCATATGCCGTTTGATACCAAGAATATGGCGACAGCACGTTACCGATATTGACAAGCAGGATGAAGTGGTATACGCTATTGGGGTTCACGGTGCCCTGATCGAGCTTGAGAAATGGGTGCCGACAGCCGGGCTTGCGATGGCTCAGACATTCTTCCCGGCAGGCCTCCAGTACAATGATGCGGCCATACGAGATAACAAACATAAAAAGTTCTGGCAGAGAGCATATCATACCAAATCAATCAGAGATCGAGCAGCAGTAAAAAGGAGGGCCGAAGAGGTGGCTCCAACTCCGATGGGTTTCTAACCAGACATACCTACTACGCCAACCTTTAAAACTAACTGTCCTCAATGATTCACAAGCCTTTCACTTATTTTAATGAATATTTCTTTTTAGGGCGGTTCAAAGCTTATATAGGAGGTAGGCAATGTGGATTTGTTTTACTTAGTTGCTCAATACTGAAATTTATATATACGGCTTCAGGTTATATACCTACCTAGGTACTGTTCAATTACATGGTTTTAGCCTCCTCGAGTAACTGCAATATCTTCCTGTGCCTGCTCCATTTTGCTGCTAATTTATCCTTACGCCTAATTTTGGCCCCTTTCTCAAGTAATAACTGTACCATCCCTTCGTTTCCTTTGGATGTTGCTAATAATAACGGCGCGCGTCCATGATCTTTACCGATTTCAATATTAGCTCCTTCTTCGAGTAGCTGTCGTACTGTAGTCTCGTGGCCGCGCTTAATTGTTATTAACAACATTAAACCGCGGTGTTCATAATCTTGGGCTTCAATGCTGTTGGATACCGAACCCTTTTCGATTAATAGTCGTACGGATTCTTCGTTGCCGTGAGCTACCGCTGCTGGAAAAAGTATCTCGTTTTTAAGTCAGCGAAATATGGTTTGGCTCCTTTCCCGAATAGCGACATATAGAGCCTCTTCGCCGCCGCCGTTACTGGCAACTTGTGTTGCTTTAGGCATGTTTTAGATCAACTTCAGCCTGTTTCAAGTAATAGTTTTACTATTCCTTCGTAGTCCCTACATGCCGCTGCATCCAATGCCGATTCGTTCCAATAGTTTGTTAGATTAATATTGGCCCCTTTTTCGAGTAATAGTCTTACTACTCCTTCATGGCCACCATCTGCTGCTGCATATAATGCCGATTCGTTCTAATCGTTTGTTAGATTAATATTGGCCCCTTTTTCGAGTAATAGTCTTACTACTCTTTTATGGCCTCTATTTGCTGCTATATATAATGCCGATTCGTTTTCGTCATTTGTTAGATTGACGTCGGCCTTATTTTCGAGTAATAGTTTTACTATTTCTTCGTAGCCATATAGTGTTGCTCTATATAATGCCGATTCGTTTATGTCGTTTGTTAGATTGACGTCGGCTTTATTTTCAAGTAATAGTTTTACTATTCCTTTATGGCCACCTGCTGCTGCATATAATGCCGATTGGTTTAAGTTGTTTGTTAGATTGACGTCGGCCTTATTTTCAAGTAATAGTTTTACTATTCCTTCATGGCCATACAGTGCTGCTTTAAATAATGCCGATTCGTTCATGTAGTTTGTTAGATTGACGTCGGCCTTATTTTCAAGTAATAGTTTTACTATTCTTTCATGGCCACACAGTGCTGCTCTAGATAATGCCGATTCGTTTTCGTCATTTGTTAGATTGACGTCGGCTTTATTTTCAAGTAATAGTTTTACTATTCCCTCATAACCTCTGATAGTTGCGCGAATTAATGGGGTAAAGCCATGTTTATTCCTCTGATTAAGATGCTTCCTTACGAAAGCCCTGTGATATTTCTTAGTGCCGAAGTCTAAGAGAATTTTCACAACTGCCTCGTGCCCCTCTGCACAAGCCCAAAATAAAGCAGATTGGCCACATAAATCGTCTCGCGTGTAGAAGCCTGGACTCTTCTCCTTTAATAGCATATAAACAACTTCCTCTAGCCCTAAAAATGATGCCATCATCAACGAAGAAAACCCGTTCGGGACCTTTTTTTTTCGGTAAGGTCTTTCTGTGCTCCAGTAAATTTTGAACCACTCGTCGGGGCTTTGATCGCCTCTGTTGCAAAGGGATTCTGCACAACGTAACATCTTTTCCGTATTCTTATTAGAGGCCCTACGGAAGTGAGCGGGCCAATTCCTTGCAGCATAATCCATAAAGACTAGGAGGGTACCTTCGCCTGAAGCCTCAAGATCCGGAAAGCAAAGGTAAGTGATACATATCTCTGCAACTGTACGATGTGATTCTGAGAGATGAAACGAGTTTTGCCATTTGGTGTTAGTGAGAGTGAGCCTTGATGAGTTGTGAACCAAAAATTCTCTGGCTGTTTGATGTAGCAAATAAATTTTAGAATTTACGATAGTAACGAAGAGCCCGCAAAGTCCTCTGACTGTATCCTGGAAGCGTTTTTCTGGCTCGAGCTCGAGTTGGCTGGGGGATTCGTGATCTTCTCTAATAGCCAGCGCTATTGCCATTTCCTGCAACGACAGTGGCCTCTCTGCCGCAACGACGATATGAAGAAGTCTTCTGGCTTTCGAAATGTCGGTACTTCTATACAAAATCTTCTCATATGCGGCCTCGACTGTCTCCGGAAGTTGGTGAACAATTTCTTTCAAGCGTCCTTTTGTAATTCCTTCGCTATTATTTATAACGTCGAAAACAAGGTAGACCCATAAATAAGTTCGGTGTGGGATACAGGTAAGTTCGTCTTCAAGAAGCTGCATTTCTCTGTCTTCGAGGTCAAGGCGTTCGCCGGTTTTCTTCGCATTAGCTTTGATGACAATATCAATCTCCCTTGAGATCTTATCGACTTCAACTTCATTCGCTCCATCTAAGTGGATTTCGGGGTACTGATTCTCAAGAAGTCGGAATCCGCGTCGAATATGAGTGTATGGTCGACTGGTTAAGAGAAATTTGAGGGAGAATTTGCCTCCGTTCTCGTAGAGCCTTTCTAGGGCTGTAGTCAGGCGGTTGATATCTTCGCATTCATCTAGAGCATCGAGAATGCAAATGATCTCTCCAGCCTCATCATGGCATGAAACACTCGTAAGAATACCCCAAAGACTGGTGAAGGAAGAGAAGAGTTGTTTGTTATTGGTGAATCCGTCGACAATCTCATCGGTAAGAAGAGCAGGCTTATGAAAGAAGAGTTGATGCAATAGACAGCGTATAGCACCTTCTAAACTTCTCTGGTCCTCAAAATCATCTTTGAAGAAGAAGTAACATGTGGATCTCGTACTGGTATTTGGAAGGACGTTATCCACCAAATGCCTCGCCAAAACTGATTTCCCGCATCCTGGATCTGCGGATACCCAGAGTAAGCCTAAGGTTTCGCCGCATTGCCACTTTCGAAATGTCTCATGACTTGTGAACCATTCGCAGGTCCCCTCTATTCGCTCACAGTTTCTGTCCTTACGATCCGGGCATGATACGCTGGGGAGTTCGCGAAGGAAGAGGCTACGCTTGTCCATTTTATCTGTTTGAGATATCTCATCTATGCGGGATAGGACTATAGTTGAATTGAAGTAAGCATTAAGAAGACTAAGGATATGCGATAACTTACTACTTTGAAATTGACCTTTCTGTATTAAATTCCGTAAAGCAGCACCATCAAGCTGCATCAGGTAGTCTACTGCCTTGCGGATTTCGTACCAGCCAACTACCATTATTCTTTCCTGTGTTATCCCCTTATTTCTTGTAGCTTCATGGTTTAGTTGTTCGATAGCTGCATCATAACAGTCTTTAAATCTAGTGATAAGTGGATCAACACTGGGGTAGATTTGCCGAAGTAGCGCGAAAAACAACCAGTGTAAGTCGACCTTCTTGGACGACTTTAGCTTGAGGAATAAGTCGCAGTTGTCAAGGAACGGTAGGTACGTCAAAGAATCTTGGCCGAGCGCAACGGGAATAATGCCGTGATTATCACGACTTTGAGACTTCCGTATTTTGAGAAAGGCAAGTTCAGTAAGCACATGATGAAAAGCATCATGGGAGGAACTATCTTCTACCACCTCCCTGATACATTCTGTGCGTTGTTGTACGGAGGATGCGGCTTGTCCCTTGGTATACGATGCTTCAATGGCACCTATATACGATGAGGTGAAATCGTCTTCATAGTATCGTTTAAGCAGACCAGAGTTACACACCACCACCTTATCGACGCTGCTGATGGTGCCGGTGCTGTTAGAATCGCTGGGTGTTGGGAGCAGACAAATTTGGTTATCGAGAATATTTCGGATGGCAGCAGAACCGCCCTCACGACTATCAAATAGAGGCAGCGGTGACTTGTCTGAAATAATTCGAGCCTGAATTATTCTAAAGTACTCGATAAGTCTCTTGACGCATTCGGCATTGGCCCTCGCATCTAGCTTAGGATTTTCATGCGCATAGACGATAAATATGCTAGGAGAAGTCGAATGACTAAACACATTTATATCTGTGAGAAGTCGTAGTATCTTGGAAAACAATTCCTCTCGCGCTAACAAGGCTATTAGTTGGTGATGGGAGTAGATAATGACAGATGACCCATGACAAGACGGCGCTCGAGAAACGTACCGACATCCTCTTGATACTGGAGCCCATTCGTGGAATCCGATTTAACTGAACGAGTTTCCATTATTGGTTATGCGAAATTTAGGGATTACTGAGACGAAAATTGAGTTGACGATATTGAGTGGAAGCAAAAGGGCAACTGGAGGCTAAGCGGAGTAGAGTGTCTTTATGTTTGCTGGATAACAGGAGTAGAATGCAGCGAGGCTGTAATGTAAGATTTAGACAGAAATTAAAGCCCAAATACAGACCGATTCAGCTTTGGAGTATTTCGTATGTGATTGACGGGAAAAGAGCCAATTATTGGGCCAGGTGGCATGGTGGCTTAAACGTGCATCTTCGAAGCGCCCGGGGGCAGTACAATAGGATTCCAATAAATCTATTTATTACATACTACCTAGGCTAGGTACGTATCAATATCATTGTGGTGAAATATACACCGGGAATGATTCGAAGATAAAACATCGAGCAGGCGTTACTTCGCGCGGGGGGCTCTCAAAGAAGACACCGGGGGCTATGAAACGACCTCGAAGCCGACCTCAACGGCATCGTGATAAACAAAGACGCCATAATCCATCAGCAGCCTCGAGCTCTAGCCAACCTCAGAGCAGAATCGCTCGGAAATTGTAAGTTGGGTTGAGACCTGTATACCTGGTATATTTCGAAGTTTACTGTTAGCCAAAACATACTAACAAAAAGGGGGGTAGTGTGACGTTGGTGATCGGATCTGGGACAACGTGCTTCGTTTTTACCCTATAAGCTCCTCTCGATAATATCTATATCTCCCACGTGCGCATAGATAGAGTTTAGAATAAGTCGATGAGAAACACTTCGTTTAAACTAAACAAGACGGACGAACGTAATTACCAACCTATCCCAGTTAGCTCTTGTATACTACGATAGGGACTGACATGATTTGCTGGGATACAACTGCTATATAACGGTAGGACCTACGGTTTCGCAGCGCACGGCTATATCGACTACGTGGAAGAGTTTAGAAGACGTAGATTTAAAAATCTATTTCACCCCCCAACCGTTGGAAAGAGCCATATTATGTATTGACCGGAACCTATTAGTTCTGGGCTTCTTCCTCATATACGTCTAGCTTCTAGACGTTGTACCAGTGTACCAGTTCCCTTGACCGTAGCCTCCACGGGTTAAATAAATACACGTCCTTCCCTCCCTCCCTCGGCCTGCCTCTTATCCCGTAGTCCCTGCTATATTCCACCTTTAGCAGATGTCCCACGAATCATACCCTCATTTCCCCCGCCATATCAAGAAAAATGTTTGAGATGAAAGATGGCAACTCCCAGAAAGCAACAAAAGAAAACACTTTGTAATCATCTTTTCCCTCCGAACTACCATCAGTGCTAGATATCAAGATCTCCAGATAAGGGACCCCAGTACAGTCGTGCTCCAGATTCTAGTATCTGGCAGCCCAAGTATGATCACCCGCGGCTTCCGTATCCGCTGACGTCGTCTCAGAACGACGTACTTAGTACTAAGACATTATATCCCCCGATCCGTACCCCGTATCCCTTAAATGATGGGCCAACGATAGGAATATAGGATCATATGCGTAACATAGTAGCGGGTATAGTCCGTCCAAATTCGACATGGCCCGTCAACAAATGCACATTGCCCTTACTAAAAATTCATATTGGAGAATGTATACACGGAAACAGGGCCGTATGTACTTCGTACCATGGCATTAAAGTCATGAAGTTGCAAATGTCAATTCGATCCGCCCCGGTAGGACCATCGGCGGGAGATTCACGAGTGAAATAAATCCCAGGCTCTCTCGCACAGCTTCAAAAACTCCTCGCGCTTCTGTCGCTGGGTCTCGGGGCTGTCCCGGCCGGCTCCAAAGGGGCCTCTCCGAGTAGGTGGAGGCCCGTGGCCGAGCGGAGGGCTACTGCCTTCTTCGTATTCGGCGCGGGTTCTTCGCCTGCTTGTACTTCGACCCGTATCTAAGGGGTTAAGTCCATTTCTAGGTGATGGAGGTGTCGGAGGTTGATGTCCGGTATAGTGAACAAGCTTAGGTAGCAGCTCTGGCCGCCCGCCAGCTAGTTCATGCTGTACTTCCTCGGCCGACTTGTATTCTCGACCCCGACCTGACATGGGAGGTTGCGAAGGACCTGGCGGCGGGTGGCCGGGCGATGCTAATGGTCCGTGGCTCGAACCAGGGTAGAAAGCTCGCGCACTTGATTCTGCGTGTGAGGGAAGCCCTTGGCCACCGAATACATCGGAGATTGGAGGCAACCGATTCGTCGTTTGGTTCGCAGGTACGTGGTGAATGTGAGACGTGCTGGACAGATTCGAAGGCTGATTAGCGAGATGCCTCGTTAAAGGTTGCGGGTTATGGCGCCCGGTAAAAGTCTGACCCAATGGCGCAGATTGGATCACTCGCTCGTGGGCGAACTGCTCATGTGATGGTGCTACAATACTTAACCCCGGAGGGGCTTTATTTCTTCGAGACATCCCTGGGGTCTTCGCGGCGAATTGGCTAATAGGATCCTTCTCCTTGCCATTATCGGGACCGTCCCCCTTTGCTGATTGCTGTTGTAGTCTAGCTTCGATAATACGGCGTTGTTGTTCTCTAACATTCATGCTCTGTTGTAGGTGTTCTTTCATTACAGGATCTTGAGTGATGAAGCCAGGTGATAGGCATGCGATACCCACTTCTTGGATACCGAGTCCTTCCCTTCCTAGCGCCGGACGTGCCGTAGCGGCGCCCGACCCGGTGAGACTCTTGGAGAGATCCAGCCTTCTTGGGCGATGACGACCGGCTGGTATATCGGGAGATCCTGGCTCTTTCTTTACAAAGATTTTAGGTCCAGCAGCGCTCGACACATTTCGTGTACTACAGCGGAGGCGAGGGTTAGCGAAAGGATTATTCCGAAAATATGATAACGGAGGAATGGTTCTCTTTTTCTAGAGGGTTGGGTATTTTCATGACGGATTGAAGGATCTGTGGAGGCCAAAAAGGGAGAAGGGCGAAAAAAAAAGAAACTAAAAAAAAATTTAAGTTACTTACGCGCTCGGGGGAGAAGACTTTACCGCGGTCTGGGCAGCGGCTCTAGGGGGACTTCGGCTAGTAGGACGTTGCGTCGCAGAAGCATGAGCATTAGTGTTCGGAATGCCCGAAACTACAGCCGAAGTACGTGGGACGGAAGGTGAAGCCGGCGCTGCGGCAATTCCAGTCAGAGTCGAGGAAGTACCTGCAGCGCTGGTGGCAGGCGCCAATTCAGCATAAGCCGGTCTATCATGGGGAGCCGGGGAAGGGGCCATAGCAATCGCCGCGCTCATGGTGTACAAATGGCTTTAAGCTTTTTTTCTTGATATGGTAATTCCAGGTACGATGATGTTAGCTCGAAATTGAGTTTTTTTTTTTCTTGCTTTGGATGCTGTTGCTGATCCTCTCCTATTTTTATTCCCGGCTGAAATGGCTGATGCGCCACGCGGGAGTTGGCAGCAAGGAAGGGAAATGGGCGGAAAGTCTTGAAAGCGTTGCAACGATGGTACAGACAAGACGCTCCAGATGTCAGCGAAATTGATTGATGAAGGGATGAGGCGCACTTTGAGCCCCCCTTCACGCCTGCGCTTAACTTTGCAGGCTTAAGTTGCAGAAATATTGATGTTGGGCCCCGATTATTGTGCAAATGGTTGCAGCCAATGATTATCTGGTCCTTCTATTCAATCTGCCCGACTCCGTATTGGTACGTGTCTAAACGCGCCAATGATCGGGTCGCTCGATCGATTCAACCTATTAATTCCTCTGATGAACTGCCTTAGCTTGCCAATCACGAATGATACGGAGGGCAAGTAGGCAGCACGTCAGCTCCGAGTAAGCAATCAGTTTTGTATCGCACTGGAATATTTCGGGCCTTGAGCCGGACGGATCAACTCTAGTTTGATACCG